TAACGCTCATGCAATTTATCAAAATATCGTCTGTTACACTGCACTGATCAACAGGGGTTCGTTACAAATGTCTGAAATACACATATTGTATAGACCTACTGAAACATATGTTACAGACCTACTGATATGAGTCACAGCACACACATAAACATTTCAGACATTTGTAATGAACCCCTGTGCTCCGTCGCAAGATCACTCACTTCAAACGCGTCTCGCAACCACTGTTTCACGAGGCTGTTACAGACTGTAGTCAGATTCCCATACAATCAACAAATAAATTCACGTCTGGATTCTTCACAAAATGAGCAAAGAGAAAAGTTCGAATTAACTTCCAAAAATAACTCCCTCGTGGATCCCCCGGAGGGCAAGGTCGGATTTACGGTGTTCACTATATTTATACATGCGCTAAATGTTCCGGGGAAAAATCGAAACAATATCAAATCTAACTTTCAGCTCAGAGTTCTATTGATAAACTTAAATCACCCTATAGACATATAATACGCAATTGTATTTATACTGAATTGTGGAATAACATTGAAGTGTTTGTTAAAATTTCAAAGTACTACTTTATTTGCCAATCAGCACGCGACAAACACGCTGTTCAAACTATTGAACGAACTTTTGTGGACTGTCGATGAGGCGGGCATTTTAAATTTTAGATATAAATTATAAGTTAAAAAAGAACATAAGAGGGAGAGAAAACGTAAATGTAAGTATTGAACTGTTACCATACAAAAACAGTTCAATGCTTAATTAAGATATATTCTGTTGAACAAAAAATTAATAAAAACAAACGTTACGTTATTTTTTTTAGAAAAGTTGTATTAGTTATATACACATCTTTTCATAAACTGAGAACTGAAATAAAAGTTTACAGTTAGTAAATGTACGACAATATTTCGGTAGATATTCCGTAGGAATGGACTTTAAAGAAAACGAAAGAAATACGCGAAATTAATCATCGTCGTTATTGTTTCCGGCATTTTGCCTTAGAACATACGTTTAAGATAACTACATAATGGTGTATAAGACAATATAAACCGTTAATCTATTAGCACTAGCTACTTCCTATCCGTAATATACACATAAATGTATCCCTTGGTTAAACTTAATAACTTTCCTCAGTAGCAACGTAACATTGGATCTTTTGTCTCTTTACAATCAAGTATAACGTCACTTACGCCATACCTATCTTTGATTGGTCATCACCACAATTAACGTAAACAAACACGAATCAATATCTCTTTCTTGTATAATTTCTATTTTAACTAGGTGACAACAGTTACAACAAATCGTTTCCTGTGATAATTATTTCAATTCAGCGACGAATCTTTAAAACAGATCTACATTGTAGTGTAATTTTGACCTGTACAGTACAGCGCTTGTGACGTGGTGTATAGTGTTACACCTTACTTGTTGACCCACCGCAGGTACATTAAGAATAAGAGTAATTACTACTGAGATGAATATGTATCAAACCTGTCCCATTCCAATGACGTAACTACGTAAGACGCGGCCTCATTAAAACAAAGGAATTATCGCCCGTGTAGTAGAAGATGACGGCTACTGTATTACTTTGTCGAGATCACGCTTCCATATCTCAAATCAAACAAAATACCACTTCTTAGTTCAAACAAAATACCACTTCTTAATTCAAACAAAATACCACTTCTTAGTTCAAACAAAATACCACTTCCTAGTTCAAACAAAATACAACTCCTAAATAAAAACAAAATCCCACTTCTTAATTCAAAAAAAATACCACTTCTTAATTCAAACAAAATACCACTTCTTAGTTCAAACAAAATACCACTTCTTCATTCAAACAAAATACAACTCCTCAATAAAAACAAAATACCACTTCTTAATTCAAACAAAATATCACTTCGTAATTCAAACAAAATACCACTTCTTAATTCAAACAAAATACCACTTCTTAGTTCAAACAAAATACCACTTCTTAGTTCAAACAAATAACCACTTCTTCATTCAAACAAAATACAACTCCTCAATAAAAACAAAATACCACTTCTTAATTCAAACAAAATACCACTTCTTAATTCAAACAAAATACCACTTTTTAATTTAAACAAAATGCAACTCCTTAATTCAAACAAAAGACAACTTCTTAATTCAAACAAAACACCACTTTTTTATTCAAACAAAACACCACTTTTTAAATTAAACAATCTACAACTTCAACCCCTTAATTCAAACATGTGCGTATTTGCAATGTTTCGTTGGGTGCTGGTAAGTTTAGTGAGATGTCCTAGAGATGTTCAATTGGAATTGACGATGTTTAGTTTGGTCATTGTATTGTGAGATGATGACATTTAGCAAGGGTTTTATGAAGTTTTATAAGTGTTGATGACGGTGTGTGTTGATGCTGATGACGTTTAAATAGTGCATTAAATATGTGTTGATGACATTTTGTTAGGTTATTTTGATTTTCTATTTGGGTTGATAGCGTCAAGTGCGGTATGTGTGGTGTTCAATTATTGATAACGTTAAGTGGAGTATTTGTGGTGTTCAACTATTGATAACGCTTGGTGGGTTATTTGTTGTGTTCAATTATTGATAACGTTAATTTGGATATTTGTTGTGTTCAATTATTGATAACGTTAATTTGGGTATTTGTGGTGTTCAATTATTGATAACGTTAATTTTTGGTATTTGTTGGTTCAATTATTGATAACGTTAATTTGGATATTTGTTGTGTTCAATTATTGATAACGTTAATTTGGGTATTTGTTGTGTTCAATTATTGATAACGTTAATTTTTGGTATTTGTTGTTTTGAATTGTTGATAACGTTAATTTGGGTATTTGTTGTTTTCAATTGTTTTATAATGTTATTTTTTGGTATTTGTTGTGTTCAATTATTGATAACGTTAATTTTTGGTATTTGTTGTTTTGAATTGTTGATAACGTTAATTTGAGTATTTGTTGTTTTCAATTGTTTTATAATGTTATTTTGTGGTATTTGTTATGTTCAATTATTGATAACGTTAATTTTTGGTATGTGTTGTGTTCAATTATTGATAACGTTAATTTGTTTATTTGTTGTTTTCAATTATTGATAACGTTAATTTTTGGTATTTGTTGTTTTCAATTATTGATAACGTTAATTTGGGTATTTGTTGTGTTCAATTATTGATAACGTTAATTTGGGTATTTGTTGTGTTCAATTGTCGATAACGTTAATTTTTTGTATTTGTTGTGTTCAATTATTGATAACGTTAATTTGTGTATTTGTTGTTATCAACTGTTTTATAATGTAAATTTTTGGTATTTGTTGTGTTCAATTATTGATAACGTTAATTTTTTGGTATGTGTTGTGTTCAATTATTGACAACGTTAATTTTTTGTATTTGTTGTGTTCAATTATTCATAACGTTAATTTTAGTATTTGTTGTGTTCAATTACTGACAACGTTAATTTCTGGTATGTGTTGTGTTCAATTATTTATAACGTTAATTTTTTGGTATGTGTTGTGTTCAATTATTTATAACGTTAATTTTTGGTATGTGTTGTGTTCAATTACTGATAACGTTAATTTGGGTATTTGTTGTGTTCTATTATTCATAACGTTAATTTCAGTATTTGTTGTGTTCAATTATTGATAACGTTAAGTTGGGTATTTGTTGTGTTCAATTATTGATAACGTTAATTTTGGTATTTGTTGTCTTCAATTATTGATAACGTTAATTTGGGTATTTGTTCTGTTCAATTATTGATAACGTTAATTTGGGTATTTGTTGTGTTCAATTATTGACAACGTTAATTTTTGGTATGTGTTGTGTTCAATTATTCATAACGTTAATTTTAGTATTTGTTGTGTTCAATTATTGATAACGTTAATTTTTGATATTTGTTGTGTTCAATTATTGATAACGTTAATTTGGGTATTTGTTGCGTTCAATTATTGACAACGTTAATTTTTGGTATGTGTTGTGTTCAATTATTGATAACGTTAATTTTTGGTATTTGTTGTGTTCAATTATTGATAACGTTAATTTTGGTATTTGTTGTCTTCAATTATTGATAACGTTAATTTTTGGTATTTGTTCTGTTCAATTATTGATAACGTTAATTTTTGGTATTTGTTGTGTTCAATTATTGACAACGTTAGTTTGGGTATTTGTTGTGTTCAATTATTGATAACGTTAGTTTGGGTATTTGTTGTTTTCAATTGTTGTTAACGTTAAGCGAAGTTTCTGATTTGTTCTGTTGGTGTTGATGACCCTTAATTGTTCAGGAGATGTTATATAAATATATGAAGCATTGTTTATTAAATTCGCGTTATTATTTTTCAAATGCGTGTGATTTAATTTGTCAGTGTTAGGCAAGATTTCTATCTAAAGTTTAGTTTTTTAGTTGGTGAATATCATTCTGGTTCGTTAAGGTTCAGCCATCAGTACTATTGTTCACGGGGCCATTTTGAGAATGGATTGTGTGAAAATCAGTATAGTTTTGTAAGGTCCAATATGACTTAATTTGAATTTCATATCGAATTTAGTAATGTGTCATAAACGTAAGTTTTTGTCAGAATCAATTAAGGTTGAATTGGTTTAAAAAGAGGTGTGATTATGTTTTTCATAGGTTCAAATATTTGAAAACAGTATTCATTGGTATATGCCTGATATTATAAGTATTTCCCGCTGCATATAACTAGGTCTTTAGTGGGGGTTTTATCTTTTATACCTGTAATTAATCTCAGATGCTTCAGAATTTCAATGGTATCGAATGAAGTTCAACGAGTATAGTAATATTTACTAGTAGACACACCCCGAGAAAGTAGTTGTTAAAACAAAGTTGAAATTTTATTTGTCGAATTAGACAAGATATCACACTTATAGCATCATTTGTGACACGCCTTACTTGACAGGCGTGGAGGAGACCCTCTGCCCTACCTGTTTAAACCGATGACTCAAAGTCCATGATCATTAATACCGGTGTACAGGTATTCTGTATAATTAACACTGGCGATGTAAACATCGAACGTTAGAGAAGGGGCACTATCTCATAGGTGTACAGCATACCTGAGTGTTTCTTCATTTTGTCACGTGACTTGACCTAGCATTGTGTGACGACCCAGTAAGTCAGAATTGTGAACTTGTGATACACGCACTGTACATTGCTCTGGGATTTAATATCTAACTGCGACGGAAAAAACCAGGACATCTGCCATGGCAAAGGTAATTAAAATGTGTTACCTTTAATATATAAAACAGCTATTGTAACATATCATTGATTTACCTACGACAATTGTTATTCCCAATTTCCGTTATGCATTTTTGAAATTGACTTTTCCTTCCAGTAAAAAAAGTTTGGATGAAAGTTTTTCGTTTTTAAGTTGCAAATGTCTTTGGTGTGTTTCGAATTAACTAGTCGTTTACTTAAACCTGCCTTAATAATTTCCAAAAATAATCTTGGTTCTATTGATAGCACATGCAGTGAAGGTTTTGAGCAAGATGTTAAGATTTTTAAATTACGATCTGGCCAAATAAAACCGGTTTTACGATAATGTATGTCCGATCGCTGTAATGGGCTGTTAATTCGTCCTCGTTGGTCAAAATATGCCCGGGGTTAGTTTTCGCGTCTCGCTGACCACAGAGAACGTATCAGCTTGGACAAATCAAAATACCTGACAGGTCATGAGCTGGACTTAATGCTTAAGTGACTGGTACAGGTACTACTGTTGATACGTTAAATTATTGTTCAATATTCATTGTTCATCAAAGCTTTAGGTCTCCGTATTATGGTATGGTTCAATAAAAGGAAACAAAATAAATGTTTTAAATTACATATGAAAACAATACAGATGAAGCTATAACTAACGACATTGTGTGCGATATCGACGGAGTTGTTTCCTGAAAAACGTTGCATATCATCAGTCAAGTTATAGGTGTGCCATCATTATCTTGTGAAATTCATTTTCAAATATATTTAATAATTAATTAATAGAGACATCCACTATAAGCTGAGGTCTAACAAGTTAAAATAAATCGTGTGTAAAAAGATGGGTTTTCAAAGACTTCATCAAAACAGCTAACGATCCACATATCTGACAGGAGAATAGAAGGCTTCCAAAGATTCTGCTGTCGACGGGTGAAGCATCAGTTTCCGTTTGTGACGGCGCGTGTTTTCGGAACGTGCAGCAAGGCCAGTAAGGCTCTACACTATGACGGACCTGAGCGGTCTTGTTGAATTTATATTTCTTGTAGTGCACATCTACATGAGAAAATTTAGATCAGCCGGGAGAGTCAGCGACTAATCTGGTAATAAAATGTATACAAAAGTTACGTCAAGTCACTGTACCGTATGCTAAACAGGTTGAATAGCACTAGCGGAAAAGTCAAATCGTGATTGATGGGCGATGGTAAGCTTGATGAATGTGGTATATATTTTCTGTCAAATAATCAGATGGATTATAAATCTACATAGCTACAGGCTAACATGTTAATATGTGACTGGTCCGTCTTTACTGAATCATTCACGTATAACATGTTCTATCGTTAAATACAAAGTGTTTGTGTACGTAATGCAGCAAGTTTGACAATGAGCGATACAGTCGATGTGAGCTTTGAAAATATATCTTCATTAGTTCTAAACTGTTTGATCTTATAAACAATTCTTTTTTCATAAACATCAAAGCTGTTGTTAGTATCAATGTAAAGATGCGTTCCGTTTTCTTACAATTTTCTTTAAAGGTCATCCTAATGTGTTAAATAAGGAAAACATATTCCTTCTTTTTCTTTGGTTTTTATATTATTTTCATTTTTCCAGCTACCTTAATTGTGGTTGTTGGCAATTTTTAAATTGTAAGATGACACAGGGTTTACCAAATGTCTGTAAACAAATTCAAAACTAAGTAATAAGTATTAGATAAACACGAGAACCAAACATATCGACTAAGCGAATTTATTTTTCAGGATGTTGTTTTGAATCTCCGAGTTTGTTTGTGTTTTACATCCTAATAACAGCTATGGTCATTTAAGGACGTGCCAGGTTATAACAGCTTTGGTCATTTAAGGACGTGCCATGATATAACAGCTATGGTCATTTAAGGACGTGCCAGGTTATAACAGCTTTGGTCATTTAAGGACGTGCAAGGTTTTGGTGGTGGAGGAAAACCGGAGTACCCGGAGAAAAAACCACCGACCTACAGACAGTACCTGGCGACTGCCCTAGAACCCGCGACCCAGTGGTGGAATCTCCGAGAGTCTTGATTTAAATTGTTGACTTTAAACATTACACATTTTTAAAGCCAGTTCGGAAATATTCCAGGGTGCCAAGACTAAAATGGAACATTCTTGTTAGCCTAGCTGGTGTGCAAACAGTGTCTGGTTTTGTCCATGTAACTAACCTCGACATGTTTAAACTCAGTATTGGGATTTGCAGATCGAGAGTGATATTTACTTTGTTTAAGAGTTTAAAGGCGATCTTGTTTTAGCTTTCTGTATGGAAATTTTGGGTTTTGCCTGAGTGACCTTGTTTTTTGTATACACTTGGGGCGAGGTCGTCATGCTCAATCCTGTCAGAAATAGAAAGCTTAAGGGCCAGACATATTCGGGATTATATGAATCATAATATATATCTGGTCACTAAGCTTACTTGGGCACGGTATAATTACGACATGTAGTTCGTAAACAGTCGTATCAACATACACTAGTGTATACGTTTATTGTCTTTGGATTGGGATTATCGGGTTGTTGTCCATTACGTCATATAAACCTCCCTTTTGAGGAGACCGCCAATGGTGAAATTTTGATACCAGCTGTTTTCATTTACAGCTTTATGTCTATACAGTGTATCAGTTATGAAAGATTTTAAACAGGAGATGGAGGGAGAATTTCCGAAAACGATGTCATATACTTGTTAGAGGAAATAATATCTCGTATCTTTGCTATGCAGTGCTTTTGTAATATATTACAAAATGACTATTTGGAAAAACCATTAAACAAATACATTCTTAGGAACGTGACTTAAGACAAGAATAAGAAAATCGACCTTTTAAATAAAGAATGATAAACTTATAGAAAATCAGGAAAGTGATCAGATCTACTATAAGGTCGATCAGACTTATTTATTTCAGTGTTTTTTCGTCATATAAATATCTAAATATGCTAATACGAAACGTGTAACTTTTTAATGTTATACATAAACTAAAGGAAGGTAAACTTTTTTGAGAAACCATATAAACTAGTTCCTTATCAATATTTCAAACATGCAATTGAAAGAAGTTAAAAGCGCGAGTCAACTTTTTAAAAGGTATCGATTGTTTACTGCGGTGGATTTCCACGAATTCTTTTATGAGATAGAAAGTTTGATTTCGAGGATTGTGTCAAGGTTCCACTGTTGTGGTTTAGTAGTACATGTGCTCGATACAGGAAAGCACGTTCCATCCAGCCTACTTTTACACTTAACTCATTACTGTTTACACCTCAAATAAAATGTCGGCTGAGAAGGCCTTCAAACAACGTCAATAAATGTAAGGCTATCACTTAACATCAGTTACGTCATACCTACTGAACATTAACATAACGCGCACGTGTGTACACATAATTCTATTGATATAGGTCGAGGCATCTTTACACCTGAATATTAACCTTTATAATAGCAGATGTGTGCATAGTGTTCCTTAGGACGTATTCATGTAAAGGTGTTTATATTTGTGTGACTTAATGATTGGTAACCACGAGTGTACACATAACTCTATTGATATATGTCGAGGCATCAATAGCTGATGTGTGCATGGTGATCCTTAGGAAGTATTCATGTAAAGGTGTTTATATTTGTGTGACTTAATGATTGGTAATCACCTGTGTACACTGACACCGACAGACAACACATGTTTTGCGTACTTATATTGTGTTAAGCTTTATTTTGGTTAATTATTTGTCACAAAGTCACTGATGAATAATGTATTTAGCCCGCACAGAGACTTGACGGATTAGATATACCCAATGTCTTCGCCTGTTAAATCTGTTTATAATCGTTCAGCTGGCTAGTAATGCATTCGTTGTCAACTCTCTTTCGGTTGTAGTGTAAAAGTGTAGGTATGGATTTTGAGACGAATGGGACAAATGTTGGTTCGGTTTTACAAAACAACCTAGATCTATAACATTCAGTTTAATAACAGTATATGTTTCTAATTTCCAACCGACAGATGATATTAAACAAATAATATGGCCAACTGTCTGTCAGTGTGTGAGAACCTCTTCTTCTTCTTCTTCTTCTTCTTCTTCTTCTTCTTCTTCTTCTTCTTCTTCTTCTTCTTCTTCTTCTTCTTCTTCCTCTTCTTCCTCTTCTTTTCTCTTCTTCATCGTCCTGATTATCATACGAGAAGCAATATAGACAGCGCAAAAACATCCATAGTTAAAAGTATGAAGGACCTCTATGCGTGCATATATCTACATATATGCTATCGGCTAATTTGCATTAATTCACCATACATGTGATGCTAATGACATACAACACACGTTGATAAATTCTATAATTATATTCCAATATTTGCTCACGTGGGTCTTCAATCATCAGTGATTAATTCCTATTCTGTGCATTGAATATTTATCACGATTCGTTTCATCCTGTTATATTGACCGCGTGCAGCGCTCCTCGTATAGAAGGCTTTATATTAATGTATTTATCAATTCAGATGTTACGATTGATGTTTTAAAAAACAGTTATAAAGGAGAATATGGTATTTAAGAAGAATATGGTGTTTTGGTACCTCTAAACCAAATTTGATAAAGGCTGAACCAACTACATTAATTCAGCAGGGAGTATATTTGCAGCTGGTCTGTTCTGAAGCATTTAAACTTAAATCTACTTTTAGTCTTAACAAATCATTAAATCATAACCATAGATACCAGATTCAAATATAATTTTAGTTTATGTAAATGATTCAATGTTAGGTAAAACTAGTAATCTTAAATATATTTTTAGTCTATACAAATCTTCAAATCTAAACTATAGCTAACCCATTCAAATCTGCTTTAGTCTTCACAGATCATCATATCCTAACAATAACCACCAAATTATAATCGAATTTAAGTCTATCTATTTAAACCTTAATCATACTACCAAGCTCAAGTCTACTTTCTGGTTGTCCAGAACATCAAATGCTAGCCATAGCTACAGTAGTTGAAAACTGATTTTGCGAGCTTTCGATAACATCTGTTTCCTTTTCCAA